TTTGGAGAGAAGGTTGAGGGGGCTCCGGAGGATGAAGAACTGGTGGAGAAGGATCTCCTGCCGACCATGGAGGAGGAAGAAGTGGTTCGGCAAGAAGGTGACCCGAAGGTCTTGGAAGAGTGGATGAGACTGGAGGTGGAAGTCCAGGAGATCGAAATCCAGAATTACACAATGGTGGAGACCCTATCATCAAGACAAGGAGTCGAGGTGAAGGCTTGCCTTGCACGGATGGTCGCCCGCAAGAAGTACCTGGGCTTGGAGGTCAGAAGGGTGCATAGCGATGGGGCGGCTGAGATGCTGGGTACAAGGCGTTGGTGTGAGGATAGAGGAATTTACCGCACCTTCACCAGCGGAAGTGACTGGAAAGCAAATGGTCGTGCTGAGGCAGAAGTGGGAGTGGTGCGAAGAGCCATCAACACTCTCATCAAGGCCTCTGGTGATGGAGAAGAGTACTGGCCTTTGATGGCCAAGCACGTGGGAGAAAGGAGAGGTCGACAGCAGCTTGCCACTTTGGGAATGGTCACACCTACGCTCATGACGTGGGGACAGCGTGTGATGGTCACCACGAAGGGATGGGACGAGTTCCAGGGCCACTGGAGGTCACGGAAGAAGGCAGGAGTCGTTCGAGGACCAGATCCTGACATGAGTTTGACAAGTGGAGGCCATTTGGTTGAGATGGAGGATGGAAAGTTCGTGCGCACCGATGACATGGTCGTGGCAAATTCTCCCCCTTCGCTCAAGGATGTTGAGGAGGTGGTGTTGAGAGAAGAACCGGCCGACCTTTTGGACAAGACGGTCAAACCCCGGAGACGGCTGACAGACAAGACCGCTCTAGCCCAAATGGGGGTCATTGAGGCGCAACGCCGTCTCGAGTGTGGACAAGCATGGGCCAATGAAGAGTTCAAGAGGTTGGAACGCCACAGGCATGCGGAAGTGGACATCCCAATGATCGACGAGATGGACATGGAGAATGCTCGGCTGGAATCATATCTTCAGGAAGCTCAGGTCGCAGTGAAGAAGCTGGAGATGGAGGCTGTTCGAGCCGAGGCCGAGAATGAGGAAGTGTTTCTGCAGACAAGAACGATCAGCCTTGGTGAGGTCAGGAAGACTTTGCCGCTGTGGGTCCCACCGCTAAAGGAGGAGATCGGCAACTTCGAGAAGAACCAAGCAATCCAGAGAGTGTTAGAAGCCGAAGCAAATGTGCTGGTTCGGCAAGCGGAAGATCGAGGTGAGAGGGCCGAAATCATCCCGGGCATGGGGGTCTTCACTCGGAAGGCGGGTGACGGCAGGAGACGGGCCAGGATCGTATGCTGCGGAAACTATATGGAATCCAGAGCAGGTGATGAAGTGTATGCATCAGGTGCCGACTCGACACAGTTGAGGTCAACCTTGCGGGTGGCGTCTTTGAGAGGGTGGCACTGCTTGTCGCTGGATGTGAAGTCGGCCTTCTTGCTGGCTCCTAAGGCTCAGGGTGAGTTAGTGATCTAGCCGCTCCTGATGAGCACTGGGTTGTCACCTCCGCCATGTATGGGCTGGTCACTTCGCCGAAGGATTGGAGTGTCTACAGGGATTCTGAACTCCTGAAGATGACGGGGGAGGTCCAGGTTGAGGAGAAGGGCCACCTTGAGGAGATGACCTATGGCTTCGGACAAATGGAGGATGGCAACCTATGGGCGATCCAGGAGGTGATGGAGACTACAAGCTCCGCTACCAGGGTGTGGGGTGCTGTGCTGGGCTACATGATTGTCTATGTGGATGATGTGTTGATGGTGGGGACGAGAGAGGTGACCGACTCCGCCTCAAGCACTATCAAGAGAAAATGGTCTACGTCCAATCCTGAATACGCGGAACCTGGTGGACCTCCTATGCGGTTTCTGGGCATCGAAACTCAGCGGTTGGAGGATGGCACCTACTACCTTCATGAGGGGAGCTATGTCCGGGAGGTTTTAGAGAGACATGGTGGAGGAGGAGTGTCGACATTTGTCAGGGTGCCAGAAGAAAAAGAAGAAGGGGTTCCAGATTTGACAACCGTGAAGGAAGCCCAGAAGATCACAGGGGAGTTGCTGTGGTTAGCAAGCAAAACACGTCCAGACATTTCCTGGGCAGTGATGAAGATGTCTCAATGGGCCGTCAAAAGGCCTGCTTGGACTTTGGAACTTGGAGCGGCGGTGCTAGCCTATGTTCGTTCGTCAATGGATCATGGTTTGCTGTATCCTCCAGAGGTTCCTCGTGACCAAGACCCTGATTTGTCCAGGCGGAGACCGAGAAGAGAAGGGACCATTGAGGTTCTGGTGGACGCATCATTCAGCCCGGGCGACAGTCACAGTGTTACGGGCACAATGATCCTACTGGCAGGATGCCCCATCCAATGGGAGAGCAAGAAACAAGGCCTGATGGCTTTATCCACAGCAGAAGCAGAGCTCACGGCACTCCTGGAGGGCTTGCAAGCAGGCCGGTCAGTTCGTGCTTTGGTTGAATTGCTGCTACCGAACGTGAACCTGGAGCTCTACAACGACAACAGGGCGGCAGTGATTTTAGCTTCGGGCTCGGGTGGTGGATGGAGAACAAGGCATCTACGAATCCGGGCGGCATGCTTAGCAGAAGCCTTGAAGGTGGGGGAGTTGTCACTTGACCATCGTGCCGGAACCGCATTGTGGGCTGATGCTCTCACTAAGGCATTACCTTCGCAGGCTTTGGAGAGATTCTGTGTCGGTGTGCTGCTGAAGCCGAAGGGGGTGGAGGATGTGAGGAAGGTGACTCAGTCTTTGCCCATGGAGGACAGCTTGAGGGTTTCCAAGTGCATGATGTTGATGCTGGCGGGGGCTTCTCTGGTGCCGGGTTCTTCAGCTGGGGAGGTATGCGAAAAGGGTGAACCGGAAACTATGACGTCGGGGTCAATGTTTGGTGACCTGGGCTGGCTAGTTGTGTTGGCCGGGTTGGTTTGCCTACTGCATATGATCAAGGAGTTGGGCATGGACATGGTGAAGAGGTTGATTTCCGGTCGGGAGAATGTCAAGGTGAAGTTGTTGAACGAGCAGGCTATTGCTCCTCAGAAAGGTTCCAATGGGGCCGCAGGATGGGATGTGGCAACAACTATGGCCGTGCAGATCGACCCAGGTGAGCGACGGCTTTTATCAACCGGCCTAGCATTAGAGCTTCCCAGGGGGTGCTATGGGAGGTTAGCATCAAGAAGTTCGTTGGCCTCGCAGGGGCTGGAGGTGGCTGGTGGTGTGATTGATGCCGACTTTCGGGGAGAGGTGAAGGTGATCATGGTCAATCATGGTTCGCAGCCTAAGGTCTTCGAGGTGGGTGATCGAATTGCACAGATCATTGTGGAAAAGATCGCGGAGGTGCCTATGGTGGTGTCTTCACGGTTGTCGAGCACAGTAAGGGGTGAAGGAGGCTTTGGCAGTTCAGGCAGTGCGGCAAGAAGCCTGAGGGTGCCTAGCAGTGCTCGCCGAGGTGAACGTGTACCAGAAGAGGCACTATTTGCTCGGGGTGAACCTCGGGATGAAGGGCGCCTACATGAACCAGATGATCTTCTACCAGAAGGGAGGACGTCTCTATAGGCTCGGGGTGATCCTGGGCAAGAGGGGGCACATCCTGGTGGAGAAGTTCAAGTACACGAAGGTGGTTTGAGGGAAAGGTGTGTTCTGGGTGAGCTTCCTCAGAACATCTTTTTCGACGACGTCTACACGTCCCGGGGAGGAGAATCAATGCCTGTGTTTCTGGAGAGGTTGAAAGAGGGGCCTCTTCGTGGGTTCTCCTGGCTCTTTTCCGGAGAAGTGATGGACATTTTGAAGGTCAAGCCGTCCAATGGGATGACCCGGGAGGTGGTGCTTCGCTATGCCAGGGGCATCATCACTGTGAAACTCCATCGTCACGGAGGCTGGAGAAAGAAAATATTTGACAGTGAATTGTCAGTTCCCTTGGCACCTGATGGAGTTTCGGCCGGAATGATCACTGTGGGGTGGCTTGACGATGGTAGAATGATGGTGCGCTCTGATGCTCGAAAGGGCAGCCACGGCATGCACTATATGAAGCAGAGGTGGTTCGGCTACAGCATCCTCATGAGGGCTTCGGAGTGTCAACCTGAGGCGAACCTGAGTTCTTGCTGAAGGACACCTTTGCTAGAGCCTACGATATGGTGAAATGGTCCGATCTAGGTGCTGCAGCGTGTCAGCTGGGCGGGGCATGGCTTTGCGCTTTGCTGGATTCGATGGGTGGAATGCGGCAGCTGCTGAGTTAGGTGTTTTGCTTTAGAGTTGATGTGCAGTGCTCAACCTAGAGAGGCCCTAAGAATGAAGGGGGCTTGAGCTGCGGTGCTCGTTTTTTGTTTCATGTTTGAATGGTGAATGTGGTTGCGAATAGTGCGCCAAAAGTTTGCGGGATTCAATGTCCCAAACAAGTGTGGGAGGGGAGAGCGAATCCCTGACCAGTTGACATTTGAGACACGTACGACTTACGTGAGCCCTTTTCTTGACCAAGGAAAACAAGAGCGTTTACGTTTTTGTGCACTGTGATAGTAATATAAGAGGGTCCAAAAATAGACTTCTTTTACCCTCTCTCTGAGAGGCACTGGTGCTGGCGATTGTCGTCGAGAAGCGACCCGAATACACCTCTGGTAGATTCTGGAAGACACAATTTCCCGTCGGGTTTTCTGATGCCATCCTTTCATGAGGTGCTTTATGAACAAATGCATCAGTTCAAAAAATCCTCCAGATCCTGTTTGTTCAAATCCTTCCTCCTTCAAATCCCCTTCAGTCCCGTTCGCACCCTTTCTTGTTGCGTGGCTCCTAAGGTCTCCCAAGATTCTCCGCAGGTCCTGTCACCTGATCGCGCCGTCTCCCCTTGCTTATCGGCTGTCACATTCTGTCGTTCCACCGCTGGACGCTGCAAATCCAATGTATTGCGCTTTTGCACTTGGCTTTATTTTGCGGGCAAACGCCCAAGGCTTGCACCGTTCTCCGCTTTGCCTACCGACAACGGCGAAGGCCGTCCTGGTCACTGAGGCTTCGAGAACGTGATGACTTTGCTTTTCTGACCTGAAAAAGACAGCATGGAAACTTGAACCTGGTGATGAAACACGACTAGGAGCATGTACTCAATCTTAACATTCACATGGTCTTACCCAATCTTGACCTTGGCTGACGTTTGTGGTCATCCAAGTGTACTGAGCGTCAGAAGGAATGTACGGCAAAAAGAGAGACAAATGACAAATGTGCTGAATCCAAAGGCGCAATCAAAGCAGCAGCGTCAAGTGTTTTGTCTGAACCGTCACATGTTCGACCTGAAGTAACACAAAGCACAAATCATCGTGCCTTCGCATTCTGCAACACTTCGATGATCTCTTGGTATGAACCAGATCGATTCAATCCTTGAAGCCCGCACATGTCAAAACCACTTAGATCCCACATTCGGGCTACATTGAATGCGCCAACTACAGTGAATAGGTCTTGTGAAAAACAGCAATGACTATACCGACTCTACTGCCAGTCACAGCCTCTTAAAGCTCGGAGCAAAACTGAGGGAAGAGCGTGAAAAGAGGAGTTCAAAAGGATTAACTCTAAAGTTAATTCTTGTACATGGTGCGTCACTTCTGTGCCCACGCCAATAAGGAATTAAACCGAGAGTTCATTTTAGCAAGCGGATTGTCGTTTTCCCACGCAAACGTGTGAGCTGGGAGAATTAAATCTGGAGTTCAGTTCATTCTTTGTATTGTTTGTAACAGGGAGGATGTCTGGACAATGAGCCCCAAGAATTAAATCCAGAGTTAACTCTTTGTTTTCAGAGATCATCTGGTGGAATGAAATCTAAAGTTAATTCTTTCTCAAGGCGTTCTTTTTGTCAGGGCTGCCAGGCTGCTGCATTGTCACGCTAGGGTCACTACGGTCATCAAAGCATCGGTCCATTCAATGGTGATGTGCTGGGTGGCCGTATAGGGAGCCCCTCAAAAAGTAAGAGTTGACCCTTTGCAAAGGGGTCAGTGAACACAGGCGGAGGAAGGGCCGTGGGGAGGAATTAAATCAGCACTCACATCAGAACCGCGCTCGGGAGACCCTTGCTTGTTCAGCCAACCAAAAACTGAAAAGAGCCGCGAGCTCTCTTTTCCGAGTACGAACAGGCATGGGGTCGTTGTACCCGGTATGATCAAAAGACTCAAATCAACAGCGAGAGCAACAAAAAGGGAGTGGACCGTGTTTGAACAGAGGAATATCTCTTCGCGAGATCTCTTCACGAGCCTCATTCAAAACAACCGGTAGGTCAAATGAAAAAGGTCAGAAGGCATCAAACCCTCAAACCCAGGCCCTCCCCTAAGCTCCCTCGTGGTAAGAGCGCTTTTGATCGCAATGCTGTGAGCTCGTGCCCCGATCGAGAGCAGGCGGCCAAACTGCGTCAATCGTGACCCAGCCGGCTTTCTCTCCAGTCAAGAGGTCATTGCGCGACGGAGCATCCGATGGGTTGGAGTCCGTGGCGACACGATCGATGAACACTCTGCACTGCAACTCACGAACACGGTCCCAAAAGACCGACACCAGGAGGCAGACATCCTCGCGAGACGAGTAACCTTTCACGAGTGTGGCTTCGACCACTTCTGAGTCAGCAAACAGAAAAAGGTCAGCTCTGAACAGTCTGAGTGAGAACGTCTCCAGGGCCACGATAGTGGCAACCATCTCGACTGGTATGATCTGAGTTTTGCGGCTGAGCCACCTAGATTTGATCTCTTCTGGAACAACCTCAGTAAACTGGCGAGGTTGCATAAGTCGGCGATCGAAAATGACGCCCCCGATCCTATCCGGCAGGACGATCGTGTCTCTCGGATCAGCCGAAAAACCATCAGTGAAAATCAAAACATCAGCTCTCTTGTTGGCGCAAAAATCGATCGATCTTGGGGGTCCGGCTTCGATCAAAAGCCGCCACTGATTCAGTGACTCGACCAAGGCCGGATCTAACTCAAAACGATCGGAGGCGGCGACTCGAGCGTATTGCCTCTCTGAGACAGGTCTGAGGAATGCTCGCCCCACCTTGCCCCAGAGCTGGCTGGCTCCGAACATCAACTTACCTTTCAGCTTGCCTGCACGTCCCGGGTCAAGCGAGCCTTGATCAAGGATCGAGTCGATCTCTTCGAGCAGTTCGGTCCTTCGAGAGGCTTTAATTTCGAGAATCCAGTCTTCGAGGTTAGGTCACACCAAGCACGACCGGCTTCGTCGAAAGCTGAAGCTTCGTCGAGTCGAACGCAGCACCTAGCCACCAGTGAACCTTCTGGGCGATTGCGAAGGCCGAGTTGACGGTCTCGATCGGCTCGAACCCATACTTATCATCGTAAAAGTTAAAGGCGACTAGCCCGAAAAGGGAAAGCAAGATCTCGTTAATAGCAGCAGATCTACGATTGTAGTTATACACTGCAAACGAGACCAAACGAGTGGCCGACCATAACGAAAAAGGCTGGCCGTCCCGAGCTAGGGTCCCTGAGGCAAATCACGCTGAACTTCCGGTGATCAGGCTTGATGCCTATCTGGCGATAAGCCTTACGTTCATCAAGAACCCAACCGGCGAACCTCAGATCGGGCAAAAGCGACTTCAACTTGCGCAGAGCTGCCACATTCACGTCGGTCGACGGCAGTTGCAGTTTCTCAGTGATTTGAGTGATCTGGTTGATAAAGTTAGTGGTGGCACTATCACAACCTCGAACCTTATTCTTTTGAACGACCTCAAACCGCTGTGTTGGGATCCAATCGTCACACTTGAGCAACTCCGAGATCTGAGCCTCCTGAAAGAAAGGGCCTAGAGTGGATCCCTCGGCCACATCTGAGCGTCGAGTCCCAAATCTTCTGCAAGTTGTCCGAGATAGGCACACTACGAACTCAAGCGAGAATTTTGGCTCTCAGACCCCAGGCCCTATCACAGGCGAAGGCAACCGGCAGAACTTTCTGTTCCTTATCGTACGGAGGCCAACGACTCGAACGAGCGATCGGGCCGACGATCGGAAACCCGGACAGCAGCAAATCTGGCAGGAATCGATCGACCGAATTGCAGGCCTGCAACATGTCATAATACAAAGCAACATGACAAGTGACGCCGAGCTGGCAAGGCAGGTGATCCGGAACGCCTCGGAGCAGACGTCGCAAGTACGGATCCTCTATTTTGGCCAACAAATCGGCTGTCTCAGGGAGCAGTTGGTTGGCACGTGCTTCCCAGCACTCGAGCGCATTCACGCGCTGGCGAAGAACGGTTGCCGGATCCTGGGCCGATTGCCTCCGACAATGCGGGATCTAAATCCACTTCCAGGCTCAAAGGGTGCGGAATGTCGAGCGCCTAAGCGATGGCAACACCGGGTTCGGCTTCAGTGTGTAGAAGCGGTTTGCGAGCGCCTCGCTTCAGCTGATAGCCAGCAGCTTCTGCTTTCAGAGCTGAAAGAGCTTGACGATGGGCTTTCCATCGCAAGGCTTGACCGACCGGCCTCTTGCGATCGTGCGTTTGCAAAGTGAAGCTCTTCATGAACTGCAGACACCGTGGCGACCAAATCAAACGAACAGCTTGAGCGAACTCAGAGCAGAGCTTATCAGGGTAAACTTGAGCAAGCTTCGTTCGGAAGACCCAGGCGTTAAAGAAGGGTGACCAAACCCTGCCTTTAAGCTTAACATGCGAATGGCCGCCTGGACAACGAGCCAAGCAATTCAAGGCCTCATGCGAAACAAGCAAACGAGTTGGCTTGATTGAGGGAGCCCCGAAAAAGCACTGGTCGAGATCAACTTTAAAAGCTCGAGTGGCTTGCACGAAACTCAGCACCTGTGGCGTCTGCCAAAGGAGGCTGAATTCAGGATTCTCGATAGAGAAATCACCTCCAAGATCGAAAACTGCCTGACAAGCTTCCAGTGAGCGAAACAAGAACAGATTTCCCAGGAACACGAGAGCGTCATTGTCTGCAGACAACGAAGGCAACCCGAGCGGGCTGTCTGTCGACCGCAACGGGGGTGGACCACCATCATTCTTACGTGCAGCTGAGAAAGTGTTACAAGGTGTTCCACAGTGCAAAAAGCGAACGGCCTTAGCTCGAATGAGCTCCATGATGAAGCTCCAACAATCGGCGTCCACAACGTCAAAGGCAGTCGGTACAGACGAGCAGATTGTGATATCCACTGGTGGTAAAGTAGGAACTCCTAAGGCCCGCATGGCTTGGGTGAGAGTGGCTGTGCCCGAGAAGATTTCCAGGAAAAACGGTCCATGAGCTGCAACTGCGCGAGCGTCCCTTGGAACATCGTCCCAAGAGAGCCATTGAGGAGAATTGGACGGCGCTGTCAAAACCGAATCGGGAGAATCATCCGTGCCGAGCGGCTCGGTGGGCTGAGGAGGGTGAGGCAGAGCCGAAGCCGCACCCTCCTGCTTAACACGCGATCAGTGATTGCCGTGCCAAGGATGATCCTTGCCACATTCAACACACACATGAGCGCTCTTGCACTGATCTCCGAAACGGCAGCCGAGCGAGCAGTTGAACCACGGGCAACGTTTCTTCCCTGAATACTTGAAAGAAGTGATCTTTGACCACTCTGCTGCTGGCACCCGAGCGTCTTTCTTGGGCTGCTCGCGACCATCACGATCTTTGTGTTGGACCTGCGCACGAGCGGCTTGGAGCGTCTTCTTGGCTCGCTCGCGACGAGCTTTGTTCTTCTTAGCCCGAGTGGTTGGAGGACCTTTGGTCGGAGTCTCTGAGCGATCACGCTTGGTGTTCCGCTTTGTTGGTGTGGATGGGGCACTGTGATTGGCTTGCTTGAACTTCTCGAGTTCGGCACTTGACCGAGCGTCATTCCAGAGCTGTTTGTGATTGTTCAACACCTCGAGCAGAGCACTGGAGTATGTAGGGAATTGCTTCCTGTGATCGGAGTTCAAGCGATACACCTTCTTCCTGATCAGGGAATCGACCGACAACAACAGTGCAAGGCCATGGTTATCATGGCGCCATTCCTCGAGCTCTGACAGGTAGCGAAGTGGCCCTGCCGCATGCGAGAAATCACAAATGTTCAAGTATTCAAGTGCGATCAGAAAAGCGTGGAGCTTGTCCATGACCTGAGACTCGGATGCAGCTGATGAAGGTTGATCCACCGTCACAACTTTTAAAAGATCTTCTGCGTTCTTCGGGAGCCCGCTCTTCTGAGCGATCTGCTCGCTACGAGTGCGGAGCTCTCCAACCTCATAGAACGGCACGGAGCCGTGCACCAGAAAGTCACGCTGCAAACGTTCGACCAGTTTCCGATGAGGTTCACGATGGTGAGGCAACAACACGTCCGGATGACGTACGACGAACTGCTCACGAAATTCTGCATGGTCGTCTCCCGGGATTTCCGGAACTTTGGATGGATCCTCCTCCATCTTGGCTCT